CCTGCCCCAGCCGGGCTGGACCAGGCATGGCAGCACCAGTCTCCTAGCTCTGGCTATGCCCACAGCAGATGATGTGTAAGCCAGTCTGGAGATGGTAGGGGAAGGGGCCCACCTTCCCTGCGCCGGGGGTGGTAGTGGGCACAGCCACAGCCCCGGGGGCTCCCTGCTGTGAGCTCTGTGTGGGGGGTGAAGGATCTCCCTCCTCAGGGTCCAGGACACACACCCCTTGTCACATAGTTCTGCCTTCCCTCCTTGGTCCTGGGGAACCTTCTTTGTTCAACCTGTTGGTTTGGGGAAGGGAGTTACTGGGCTAGAGAAAGGAGAGGCATTAGGGTTGTCGGGCTCTGGCTTGAGTGAGGGGTGGTGCTGTCCCTCTGTGTGCTTACCTGGGGACATCCAAAGGGCTGTTGTGCATAAACTGGGCACCTCCATTTTGAGGGAGGTGCGAAGGCTCCCTCGTGAAGGGGCTGCAGAACCCTGGATGAACTGTAGCTATGGCTGGGCAGACACTGGCTAGGCCCACCCTCACGTCAGCACCTGCTTGGCAGATAGCATGGCCATCTTTGTCGGTGACCCCTGACCAGTGCAGGGCTGCAGCAGGAAGAGGACTTCTCAGGGAACAAGCACACCCCACCTCTGCTAAGGCAGGGACCATGAGGCCCCAGTGCTACCTTGTGAGGTGGGAGGGGGAAGGGTCCCAAAGCCTCCCCTGTGACTCACCTGTGGACCCTGTAGACACCTGGCCTCCAGGACCATCCCCTTGCTAGCCCCTCAGAGGACCTGGCCAGCACACCCTTCATGCTGGGACTAGCAACCTGGGAATTAGAGGCAGCCAGCACGGCCGGCCCAGGGTCAGCGGGCTTGGCTTTCAGTGCCCTGCTCTCTGGGGCTCTCTCCCAGTTCTCCAGCCAGTTGACGATGGGCACATGGCAGCTTTGGGAGTCTGACCCAATCTGACATCTCCAGAAAGCTGACTTCTGTCATCACTGACTTACCTGCAGCATTGGCCGGTCCCCCTAGGGTGGCTGACACCTTACAGCCCTACTAATGGGACACAGAGACACCTCCATTTTCAGGTGGATGTCCCAGGAAGAGCACCCAGCATGGTGGGGCACCACAGGTGAAGACTCACAGAGCCAGCTGCGGAGGGTGACTGGCATCACGGCTGGCAGCGGGCAGCCAGAGTCTAGGAGTCAGATCACACAGACCTTGACTGGAAGTCTGTCTCTGCAGACAGCTAATGAAAACAAGTGACACTTCCTCTGTGGCCCTCAGTTGCCTTCCCTCTAAAAGAAGGATAGAATAAGCTGGTCTGGAGATCCATCTCAAAAGGTCAACGACAGCATCCTCTGGGGTTATCAACTGCCCAGTCCTCTTAAACCTTTAATTATGAAATATTTCAACCACAAACAAGCTTCAGAAATTAGCGCAGTGAAGCCTCTGGTATCCGTTTCCCTGTTTCAGCAATTATCAGTACACACCATCACCCAGTCTTCGCCACAGGCTCCACTAGGACAGAGTTAAGCATCTAACCAAAAAAGTGAGACTTACCGTCTGGGC